TGAAAAAGAATGGCTTAAGTTGTTTTATGAAGGAAGGAATTACAGAACTTCACAAGAGCCTCAGTTCATTAAAAGCAAGGCTACCCAGCTCTTGGTGAGGCTTCCATCAGGTAGGGCACACACAGGCTACCCAGAAGCCCTGCATCTGAACTGCCACCCTGCTCTGCCTGTATATCACTTCCTCAGCATTGCTGATGGGGCCTGGACTGGAATGGTATTTCCAAACTACACAGAATAAATTAGCATTTATTATGGGCAATTTCCCTTTGTATGTGTGTGGGTGGATGGTGTGTTCCTGTGGGGGGAGAGCGTGCATGCACAAGGTCAGGGATGAACCAGTCGGGTGCCTTTCTTAAATGCTTTCCACCTTATTTTGTGAGATTGGATCTGTCACTGAACCTGGAGCTCACCAATTCAGCCAGACTAACTAACCAGTGAGGGTGGCGGTCCTCTTTCTACGCCCCACCCCCAACACCGAGATTGCAGGCATGCAGAAGAACCATACTCATATTTTTACAGCTCATCCATTGAGCCACCTCCCCATCCTCAGGTGACACTTTCTAAGAGACCAGTTTCTCAGAAGGAGGCTTATCAGCATCAGATACTATCTGTGAAACCTAGCTCAACTACTTTTGTCCTTGTATCCAAATCTATATCCTGTAACTGATCACCAGCAGTCAGTCATTCGACATAACAGCAGTCCCTCCTCAGTCCCCTCTAAAAGCATTGATGTCCCCCTCTAAGCTCCAATCATAGAAAATGACTCTTTTCGATAATCTTGTTGTCACCTGTGTATTTTAGCCGCTAACTTCCTTTCCACCCTGGCAGCTCATGCTGATGATAAAACCTCAGTGTTAAAATGTCAGCACACCTATATGTGACGGCTACAATAGAGGGTAGTGGATCTGGCCGGCAACCCTGTGTTTATCTCTAAACCAGTTCTACAAACTATCCCCAAGGAGGTTCCTTACGCAAATGGCACTGGAAAGGTGATTTTTTAAAAACCAGTAACATACTGTGTGTGTGTGTGTGTGTGTGTGTGTGTGTGTGAGAGAGAGAGAGAGAAAATTTTGGGGGAAAATTTACACACAAAGTAAATTTAAGAAGCATGAGAGTGCTGGAGCTGGAGCTGCGGTGTTACAATGCTTGCCCTGGGTTCTGTTCCCAGCACCTCACAAGCAGAGTGTGCTGCTGCATCCCTGTAGATACAGTGTTCTGGAAACAGCAGATGGAGGACCAGAAGTTCACTGTCAGCTACATAGTGAAATCCAGACCAGTCAGCCTGAGCTACATGAAAGCCTGTCAAATAAAAACAAAGAAGCGAAGCAAAAACCAAAATATAACTCCACAAAAGAAAATAAAATGATTTTCCTTATTAACTTTTAAAATTCACCCTTGAAGTCTTGTGTATCATCAAACCATTCATGGAAAGGGGCATTGCAATATTCCTAGGTTATATCTGCATGTTATATGTATTCATTGTTGGCGGAAGAACTTACTTCAAAAAATATTTGGCCCAGGGGAGAAAATATTTTCTATGTCCTAATAAGAATATCATGATTTCTATATGAAAAAAATTTTTAAAAGCCCATTACCTTGCAGCTGAGCCCCTAATGGCTCCAGATGGTCACTGCTATAAAGAATACTCCTCTATTCTTTTACGGAGACCCTGGGGTCACACATTATCTGGGAGATGTAGGGTTATTCATGTTTCTGAACAGTTAGGTTTTGTTCAGCCTTATCCATCTCATTTGTCTCAGACTAGCCATCAGCAGCTATGGTGGCAACTGGTGCCCCCAAATGCGGCGTGACAAATACAACTCCCTTGCTTTATGCATCTCTGCCCACTCTTCCCACTTAACAACTACCCAAGCTTGAAATGAATGCAGGCAGCTATAGCTCAATCGGCCAACACCTACAAAAAACATTTCACACTGTTCCCTATCACTTAAATGCAAGGGGAAAAAAATAAAACAATGGTTAAAACTTTTCATCCGATTTTGAAAAAAAGAAAAAGGAAGAACTTATTTTGATTTGCTATTTTCTTCCAATGCATATTCACACCTCTCTTTTTATAGGGGAAAAAGATTATTTTTCCATTACAATGAAATTACATTGAAGCTGCATAGCAAAAATACGCAAAATAATGTAGTATACTACTAAATAACTCAATAAGGTAAATTCTATTCCTGCTGTCACTGGATTCTTGCTAACTGTCTCTCTTCAGCTTGACATCAATTAATGATTTTAATTCCAGACTCTGTCACAGTGCCCACCACCCCTTTCTCTAATTAAAATGGATGATGTGTGATGGGGACAAAGCACACAAGATTTTGTTCTTGTAACATTTCTATTCATTAGTATTTGTGCTTTTATAATAAATGGCTTTTAGCACTAATTGCAGCAGAGAAACATGAAGAGAACACATTTGTGACTGAGCACAGTCTTAATTTATCCAGAGTAGGCACAGATAAAATCTACACTATGTTGAAATCTCCCAGTAACATACAAAATGCACCTACTACAAAAACAGGGATTGAATCTGCAGAGAATTACCCATAGGGAAGGTAAAGTTTGGACCCGAGGCCTAATGCATACTAGGTAAGTGCTCTATCACTGAATTACATCCCCAGTCAATTTTTTTTTTGTTTTTCTTTTGAGATAGGGTTTATTAAGTTGTTCAGGCTATCCTTGTACTTATTCTAAGCAAGACTTGGAATTGTGATCCACTTGCCTTGATCTTTTGAATAGCTTGTATTAAATACCTGAACTACCAAGCCTGGCTCCACGGTATAATTTAAGAGACGGGAGTAGGGGGGTGGTGAGGCTATGGGGAGAATGCTCTTTTCTGGTTTGGCTTTTATCTGTCCTTCCAATCACATTTTCCCCAGGAATTTACCGCATTCCTCCTCAAAAGAGCATTGCTCACAGCAGAAACAGCACAGAAGGAAAAATAGACTAAAGAAGACTTGTCACATATCACAAGCACCAAACACACAACAGGACTTAGCACCTCCTCACACGTACCAAGCATGCATTGTGACCAGCACCCATCAAAGCACGAAGGATACAGTGTGACTCAAGCACCATCATAACATCAAACACCCAGGGTACCGCCATCAGCACCAGTTTGTTACCCACTCGATCATAAATCCAAGATTCACATGAAGCATGCTTTCAAAAGTATTAAAATGTAAAAAGCCACATCTTGCTCAAATTTATGGACCAGTCACTTTTTGAAAGATTTTGTTCTAAGCCCAAGTACACTGTAAATTTACTATGACCAACTGAGTACCCAGGGAACTACATCATTAGAGGCACAGAGATAGATTAAAAGCCAAACTAAGAAATGAGCTGTGGTTTGGGCAATTATTAATATAAATGAAGCTATGATGTTAAACTCATTGTTTAGTTGGACACATTTGACTATGTATTATGAACTATCTTGGAAACGTTGCTAGAATTCTGCAGGAAAGTACAGAAGTCATCTAAATGCAAAGCAAGCATGTCTAGACTATGGGAGATTGTGCAGTGTTGGCCAATTTCAAGGCATGGAAGTAGAGCTTTTCCTTCTATCACTCCATCTGCTCTCTAAGTAACTTGTACATCTGTGGCTGACTTGAGTCCACACACTGACTTGGTATGTTCTATCTTTAGGAGAAAGAAACTCTTTTTAGCATGAAACTGATGGAGACTGATAGGGAAGAGGAAGAGGGTGCAGGAAGGAGGTACAAGAGGCCATCAGGCGGTATGACTGTGAGCACAGTGCATCACAGGTGCACATATTACAGCAGCACAATGAAACCGCCTATGTGTACTATTAACACACACCAACAAAAAACAAACAAGCAAAACAGAAGCCCTGCTAAGACAGAGGTGTGAAAATTGGAGGAAGTCTGCCTAACACAGTACAATGACTTCAAAGGAAAATTGATGGCTAAACTCAACTCAGTGGTAGAATGCCTAGCATGTATGAGCTCCTGGCCTCCATTCTTAGAACTAACAAAGATAGATAGGTAAGTAAACAGATAAAAAGTAAATAAAAATACTGAGGCAAACCTCAAACTTGTATCATTCATTAAAACTCATGTCTATGTCTTACTGGAAAGCTAGAGAACAGAATAATTGCTCCATTTGAAACAAAGACAAATGAAAGCAAAATTCCCCAGAGAAAGATGAATGAAAAGGTTCCCAAGCTAATTTGTGTAAAGGAAGCTATTGGGCTGGGAAACAGATCAGGAGGGAGCTTGCCTGACTTGTGTGAGACTTTCAAGTCAATCCCCAGAATTGCAAAATAAAATAAGAAGCAGCTTCAGACTGTAGAGGAATCCTTTTTTTGTTTGTTTTCTTATTCATTCATTAGCATGAGATAACCCATCTCTGGCACACACCTACGCTCAAAAGTGCTATACAAGCTACAGGTAAAATGACACCCACTCAGATCCAAATGTGGAAAGGCAAATTATTTCTTGGAACATGGTGCCTGGCTGTGGGCACTCAGGAAAGGCAGTGTAAGGCAGAAGCTGGACACATGTGCCTATAATTCCAGTACTGTGGAGGAGGAGACAAGGCTTGCTGGTCAGGTCCAGGTTTAGTGAGAGACCCTTTCTCAAAGAACAAACAGAGCAACAAAGAGTAATAGGGTAAGACACCAGGTTTCCACATGGATGTACATTCCCATGGACATATATAGATGCACATAAGTCACACACAAAGAAACCTGATGGATGGATATATATATCCATGCTGAGCTCATATATATATACCCATACACTATGTAAAACATCTTAAGCAAAATCATTAAAAACTCACATTCAAATGAATATAAAAGTTCCTTCTTTTTTTAATAAAGCCTTCCTTTGTACTACATTAATAATCATCACACAGATCTTTATAGCCGAGTACAAACTATTTGCATTTAAGATCAAAGCAGTAGACAGGTAGCCATGAGTGAGGGCAGCACCTCTGCCAGGGGGCAGGGGCTGGTCTTTGAGGCCTACCTCTCCTGCTCTTCCTTCATCCGCACCCTGTCCTCTTCTGATGTGAAAGAATCCTGGATTTTTATTCGGCCCATTTTCTCCATCTTGTCATCTTTTCGATGCTTGCCAAACCTGTTAGTAATGAAAAATTCTACTTAGTCAATATATACACAATGAGTTGTCCTTCCTCAGATACACACATACTTAGTGCGATGCTAGGTTCCTCACAATGCAGCCCAGATGTCTCCTGAGTGTATCATCTTCAATTAGAAACTTCTACTAAATTTTAATTAGAATATTCCAGGCAAAACCTTTTTGAAGGGCTACTCCCCAGCCCCTCAGTATCTATATTTTTGTGTTGTTTCACAAAACAAAGTAATAATAATAAAAAAGACTCATTAAGGCTAACCAGTTTATTCTTCTGAGGGACTGAGGAGAGGTCCAGTTGGTAGAGTGCCTACTCAGCATGCAGGCAACCCTGAGTTCCATCTGTAGAATTGCCCCTTCTGAGAGAGAGAGATTGAGAGAGATTGAGAGAGAGAGAGAGAGAGAGAGAGAGACAGAGAGAGAGAGAGAGAGACAGAGAGACAGAGACACAGAGAGAAACAAGAGGATAAGAAGTTCAAGGTCACCCTTATTTACAGAAAGAGTTAATGATCAACCTGAACTATAAAAGAGTCTGTTTCAAAAACAAGAAACCAAAGACTTGCAGCAGTTGATTCCACGAAACAAGCAAATGATAAATGTGCAGAATGCCAGGCTGAACACATCAGACACCAGAAGAAGAAAGGAATCTGCAGAGAGGGGGCTTCTCTTAGGACTGAAGACTGAGAATCCAGAATCATCTAGTTAATGATCTCTCCATAAGCAATGATTCTTCTTTATTTTCAACGGGTAGGCTTATTGGGAACATTCATCATAGTTTAAAACCTGACAAAGGTTTGCAGGGTTTAAAGCACAGAGGATAATTCGAGCTACTAGACTGGAGTTTATTAAACTGAAAGCTTTTGAGGCGTCTTCACCAAACACTGTCCTCAGTCCAGTGAGCAATGGCAGGAGGATGCCATCCCTTGGAAACCGACATCTGAGCGAAACCAAATACAAGGAATGCATGTGTGATTCGGCCTTGGTCTATACACTGCTGAGAATAGATGCCGACCCTATGGCTTTTAAGAGAATGTCATGCTAGTCAATGCTGGCATGCAAAACATCACAGATGCTTCCAGCTTCATATGGACTCTTTTTCCTGCTGTTATTTTCCTCTATAAAAAGCCCGTGTGCCCTGCAATGCTTGCCTTCCATGGTCTCCCATCAGATTCATGCATGAGGATTGTCAAGTCACCAGCTGTCTCGAAGAAATCTCAGGCACACAGTTGTACAAAGAAATGCTCATATAAAAGAAGGAGGGGGGCTGGGAGGGCTGAGTCTTTCTATTGGAAGAGGTGACACAAGACAGAAGGAGACAAGATCATGGGTATGAGAAGAAAAACTCCTCATGCCAGTGAGGCTGAAGCCTCTATCCAGTGGAGAATCGAAAATTGAGCACAAATAACATTTGCTAAAGGTCTTTCTCCCTTTCCAGCTACACACCTGTCATTTTTTAGGAACATCATCTAAAGCCCCTGTACAGTGAAGGGGCATATCGTAAACAATTTGTACAATTTCATCAGATTGCAATTGCATCCCAGCCACATCGGGAGCTATCCTATAATCTCAGTTACAAAAGAGGGAACAGAGTTAGAGGAGGCAAGGGCTCTTTAGAAATGCACTGAGCAATAAACCCCCCAGAGTTTCCAACACTCTGTACACAGTTACCAATGGGACATTTGAAGGGGTGCTCTTGTTTGAGAACCCCCATCCACACTAGGGTATGTCTTATTCTTTCCTTGAGCAACTATTGTCTCTCAGTCCCCTTGCCCCACAGTATTTAAAATCCTTGTTTGAAGTATCCTTTAGTGAATGGTGACTCTCGAGAAACTTAGACCCACCCTCTGAGGTATGCCATATTCTTTCCCACAGTGCCTTTTAAACAATCCCCAACACTGTTTTGCTCATCCTGAAACTGTTTTCTGTATCAGAGCCAAAGGGACGTGGCTTTACTCAGGGATTAGGGAGCCTTCGAGGTTGCTGGTGACAACAGAGCCAGCCTATGAGTCCTGCCTGGCAAAGAGACCAGGAATGAGGCTGACAGAGACAAATCCACATCAAAATGAGAAGAGTAAAGCCTGGTACAGTTGACAGATAAAAGAGAAAAAGATTTCGAGTCATGGGTTGGTTAGTGGCACAGGTCATTTCTTATTAATATAAACCCCATTTTAAACACGCGGTCACACATGAAGTATCGAGTATAGATCTCAGACAGCAGTTAAGGTACACTGTGCTTGCCAAAGGGTTTATAAACATCATCATCACCCTATTATGCCAGAAAAAGTCACATATTATCACCACTGTTCATTTAAATTATATATTCTGAAGTGAAAAAAATCAAACCTAGCTACAAGTTAATTCTATAAAGTAAATCTGTCTTTGACAGTTGATCTTATAGTAACTGCAACTGGAAAAGGACGGAAGCAAAAGAAAGGGAAGGAGAAAAATAAGTCTTCATGAACTTGATTAAACTAGAATCAGCCCACTTTTCACAGAGGATAAAACATGTGCTGGGACTTTAAAACTAATACACACACACACACACACACACACACACACACACACACACACAAAGTCTGGGAGTTAAGCTTTATAAAGTTAAACTTTATAGAATGAATGAGTCTACCAAATAGAAAACATGCATCCTAGGAAAATACCATCTTAAGCATCATGTTCAATCATTCACCAAAGCTACCAGGCATCTGCTTGCATAAGAGCTGACTTGTCTATAGTACAGAGCTACACACAGTACAGAAAACACGCCATGTCACTGTGGCATCATGGAGCCTCGATTACAGCATATATTTAGGTGACAGCATGATGTGCTGGGCAAGGGAGCACAGAGGGTCATGTGAGAAGAAGGACAAAGTGGGCCAGAGATTTTATTTTAGAGAATTAAAGATGGCTTCCCTAAGAAGGTGACATCGGGCACAGGCCAGTGAGTCATGTGGGGGCCAGCCACACTGGGGAGTCAGCAATACAGGCTGAGACTGGAGCTCAGGTTGGTAACCCCAGCACCCCATTAATTAAGCATGGTGGCACACACCTGTAACCTCAGCACTTGGGAGGCATCAGCAGAAAGAACAGAAGTTCAAGATCATGCTAACTATCAGGCTAGCTTGGAATGTGTAAAATATCTTCTCAAATAAAGGAAAACATGAGGAAAGAGCTAGCACATGGAACCTGACGGAAGGTACGATGATTTTCCTTGAGAAACCACAGGGGCCACAAACCCAGGTGTGACACCGGGTGGTATCTGATAATAGCAGCTAAAGCGTAAGAAACTGAGTCCTTGAAGGGGGACTCTCAGAGATGTGGAAGAAGTCAGGTGTATGGGGGTGTTACAGAAGGCAGGAGGCAGAAACCATAGGATTCGCAGATGGGAAAGCCACAAGCATGCAGGAAATCATTGCTGCCTCTAAGATTTGGAAGATAGGCTACTATTCAGTGACACACACAAGGCGGGGAGGGGCAATCTATGGTGGCTGAATGTCACCTGAGGTTGTCCTTTGACCATCATCCACAAACAAACAAATACATCTTGTATTTACTTATTTACAGAAGCATATTGTATTTACTTATAATAGATAGCTATAAAGGTAAATGATTATAGCCATTTAGCTTTCAGTTTGTAAATGTCCCTCAAATGACACACTGATGTCACAGTGATTCGAGTTACTCTCACTGAGAAGATAATGTACGTCTGTGCATTGAGTAATCTATTGAAGAAAACTGAGATTGACTGATGGTTTTGAACCCAGGTCTTATGTGTGCTACACAAATATTCTACGACTGAACTAACAAGTTGGGAAGACTCAACTGTGTTTACATTCTTCTTCATAACCCAGGGAGGAGTGACTGACAAGTGGCCACTTTCCAATGGCACACTGATCTCACATCAGCTGCACAATGCATCCAAGTTCCACCACGCAAGCCAGGTCATTTGAGAGTGGTTATGGGAAACAGGTGGGGTAAGGCATGCCTTTGGTCATGAGAAAAGCTAAAAGCTAGTAAAAGAACCCCCAAACGGATGCAGGAACTGTCGTTCCTATGCGAGAACAATCACTAACAATTAATGCCTGCTACGTTTTCCTGGATATTAAACCATCGTTCTCATTTCCAGTGAAGCAGTATAAATACTGCTGAAATAGCTTGCTATTTAAACTGTGATAGTTCTACTGCTACTAAATTTAGAAGTCTTTAGAAAAATCATGCTGAATGATAACACTGCGCACTGTTCTAGATAAAATAAAAAAAAACCATTGGTTGTGACGAGAGGGCTTCCCCTCAAACAGTGTTTTAAAACATGATACAGTAAAAAGAAGGTTGTAAAAACATGCTGCCATGTATATAAATAGTATCTTCAGAACCGATTATTTTATAGTCTTTGAAAGAATAGGTCTTAAAATAATATTTTCTTTAAAAAAAAGAGTGAAATGTCATTGAAGTCTAATAGTTCACTGCTAATTACCAGGCTTTTGTGACACAGGAGGACTTTGCCATGATGTGTGTCTGACTATTTACCTCAGGAAATATGTAGGTTAGAATAAATGATACTGTATGGCTGTAAGAAAAGATCTTAACTAAATCAAATATGAGTTTGGCCTCAGCTCCCAGAGACAAGCAACTCCAACCAGGCATCACTGCAAAGCACTAGAAGTCCTGGTCCTGTATCCTGCTCATCATTTTCAGACCCTTGACCTTGTGTGATTCATCCTATCATTTCCTCTGTCTGAGAACTCATTTTTGCCTTCTGGAACCTCTCATTTGTTTTTGCTGGCTGCAAGCCAGCAATGTATGCTGACTTTGGACACTGCTGGCAGTGACAATGCTGCTATTGACTCTGAAGACCCTTCAGGTATATCAGCTGCCCAGTGAGCCAGCTGAATACTACACACAGCAAATTACAACCCCTGCCTAGTCCCCAAGTGATGCAGAGTACATGCTTACCACATCAAAACAAACTGGCTTCCACCATCATTGGC